ATTTCCATTTATTACTGAAATCTAGGTTTAAGATGCTGGTTGAATGAATGAAGAGACAAAAGAGTAGCGAGAAAACAGGAAAGGTGTAACACAGTGGGAGTTTACTTCAGGTGAGAATTAGGAAATTTTGAATCTACTGCTCATTTAGGGGAACACACTGTTATTAGGTGTGTTTGTGTCCCTGCAAGCATGCAGCTGGTAGTAATAACCTGCAAGAGGGGGAGAGGTATGTAACTCTGTACGGATGGCCTCTGTGGGATGACACTGGAGACTGCCCTGTGTCAGCCACAGCCAGTTCCAGCGGGCTCCGACGGACCTGCCACAGGGCACAGCTGAGCCCCTCCGCCAAGATGGCAATGCCCCTGGGAAAAGGAGAGAGTAAAATGCCGCCGATTAGTATGAGGAATAAGGAAAAAAAGTGAGAGAAACATCCCTGAAGACTCCAAGGGTAGAGGAGGAGGAGGAAGAGGAGGTGGTGCTCCAGGCACCAGAGCTGATATGCCCAATGCAGGTCCTCCATGGCCAGAGGATGTGGGCATGCCCTTGAAGGACACTGCAGGCCATGGAGAGCCTATGCTGGAGCAGGCTTATCCTGAAGGACTGCAGCCTGTGGAGAGGGAGGAAGGGTAAAGTGTGAGGAGGAGGGAGCAGCAGAGAGAAACTGTTATGTGTCGACCGTACTGCCCATTCCTCACCTGCCCTGTGCCACTCAGGGTGTAAGGGGAAGTGTTGTTTTCATTTGTTTTTGTTTCTCACTATCCAAATCTGCTTTAATTGGCAATAAATTAAATTAATTTTCTGCAAGTCAAGTTTTATTTGCCCATGATGGTGATAGCAAAGTGATCTCCCTGTCCTTATCTTGACCCACGAGCTTTTTTTTTAAATCCTATTTTCTCCCCCTGTCCTGTTGGGGAGGGGGATAGGAGAGCAGCTGGGTGGGTGTCTGGCATCTGGCCAAGGTCAACAACCACAGTGGTGAATTGTTTAGTGAATCAAAATTTCACTTTGACATGTCAAGCTGCAGGATTAGAAACTGCTACTATATAAATGGTAAATTGTAGACCACTGAGACTCGTCCTTTGGAGCTGGCAAACTACTTTGTTTAAAAAAGTAAAAAAGCCTTAATGTTCTGACATTTCTTCGAAGTCTGTATTATGTCGTCTGCATTTATTACTGCATTTCAATGAATCTTTCTATTGAAAACGATACAACATATTGGCAAAATGCTATTTCATAACTGTCATGTGGTATGTAAAGTCTCCTTTTTGACACAATATTGTCTGTACCCCATCTCTTCTCTGGGATATTAAAATGGGAATGGCTTAACCTCTGACTATAGTACACACTTATGGATATTATTCTGTCATCCTGTTTTTTTGTGATAATGATAGCAATGGACATATATTTCTTCTTTTCTTACTTCTCAATTCCTGCAATTAGGAAAACATTCATTTTTGTTAAATTATTTTGCTGCCTTGTTTGTATAAATTTTGCAAGAAAAAATATTATGTTCAAAATCTGCATTGTTTCAACTTCGAATGATAACAAGCTGCCACTCTGAATTGGTATGCAAGGAAGAGGATATAGGAGTTTGAAGAAGTCTTTGCCAATCTTGACATTCCCTGGTGTATACCTAGTGTCTAGTAACTATATGCATAGGTGGTCTTCACAAATTTGCTTCACTTTTATGTTTGTGTAACTTCTCATGGTAATATAATTTTATTAGAAACAGTAGACTTGAAGTTTTTATAGGATACATGACAGAATGTCAAATCTTTATATGTCCTCCAAATAGGGAAAAAAAAATCTAAAATTGCTGTCCTTTTAGGAAAGAAATGCTGGGCAGAAAAGATTAGCAAAAGTGTTATTCATAGATGTTAGAAATAAGATGGCATAGCAGTTTCTGTTATGGGATGGAATTGCCTACAATATTCAGATATTTTTCATTCTTCATCTCTCATCTGTGGTATTTCCAATTGGATGTAAGCAAAAAAACCCCAGCTTTCATATTTCAGAAGAATTCTGATCTGCCTACTTTTTGTGATTATTGGCATATTTCAGAGGTAACTCTTTTAGGTAAGACAAAAGGTTGGTTTTCATTCAGGGCTAATGTTTCCACATGACTTTTTTTTGTGTGTGTTTGTTTTAGGAAAGTGAAAAGTCTTGTTACGATGTGAATGTATGTTGTGGAAAGCTTTCATTTGTGAGGGCAAGTGTCCATTTCAGAGTGTCCATATTTAGTCCCATGTAATGCTTTACATGCTCATTTGATGAAGTCTCCCCTGTACTTAAGGTCTCATAAGGTAAATAAAACACAGAGCAAGTACCCAGTTCATCCTTACTTAGGAGGTCTGAGGAGTGTTTTGCCAAATTGCACAGGTTGCCTTGTGCTTCAACTCTGCTGAGTTGTATGTGTGCTACATTTAAGTTTTGTTTTATTTCAGGTTAAGAAACTTGAAAATGCAGTGATACATGAATGCAGGGAGAAGAATGGCATGTTATCTTATGTTTGCAAGACATAAGCCCACCATCCTGGTAGCCTTTTCAGTTGGAGCTGTGAGCAGCGCTACCCCAGATGCATATTATTTTTCTACATTTTTTAAATCTTTGTTTTGCTGTGCATTTTCATGACACGGAGGTTTTGCCATTTGAACTGTCTGAAGCATGTATTTGGCTGGCATCCAGTGTCTAAAAACACGTTGAAACTGTGGTGCTTTAATGCATAGCTTTGATTTTCTCTGCTTTATGTGTTTAGTTTTATGGTAGAAAATCTTCTTCTAATGATTATGAAAAAATAAGGGCATGGTTGGCAAGGATATAGCTTCATTTCCACTTTTCTACCTGTGAAATTGTCCAAGAGATGGAGAAATAGTCATGTTTTTTTCAAAAGCAGTCAAAATTATCACAGAGATTATTTTGTTATCCAGATTTTCTGAGAATTACCCATTTGTGTGTGTGTGTGTGTGTGTGTGTGTGTGTCTATATATATAACTGAGGTTAATTTTATTCAATAAACTTCACATCAATGTTCAGTTCTTCAACTTCTGAATTCAGGAGACTGGTAATAATTTTTGGAGTTCTCTACCAAGGGATTAGCCTTCAGTTTATGCAAGGAACTGGAAGAAAACATAAAGTGTCAGTGGTCCTAGCACAGCTTCTCAGTATGTCTAGTTGGAAATCTGAAGAACAGCATCTTAAAGCCCTGGTTTCATTTTGCAGCAAAGAGAATGAAGACAGAAAAAATATGGTTGAGTCTTTGTTCAAGGTGGACTAAGGCCTTGGTTTTTGTAGGTGGACAGGGGATACCTGCAGCACCACCTGATGGGCTTCTATTCCTGTTCTATATCCAGAGTTTATCAGCATCTTTCATAGGCTAAATAATGATTAAAAAAAAAAATCTAGGCCTGAATGAAATTCAGCATTAGACATAAAAATCAAATAAGAAATAGTTTATGCATTTTTCTAGAACTATGCTTTTAAATAAAATTTCATTTAACCTCACTTACAGTTTATATTAGAAAAATTAATTGTTATGTGAAGGTAACATTATTCAAGATCTATAGATATGGTATCTGGTACGTGTACGGAAAGTACTAGCAATACGTAAGTAGCTAATCTTCTAAATGTGTAACATTTAAAGCTCATGATGAAGATAATCTGACCTAAAAAGTAAGTGCAAAAGGGAAACGGAACAGCCAAACAAACCTGGCTACTCTTATGTTTCTGTACAATGTTAATGATGACCTTTCAGCATCTGTTCAGCATTCTGCAGCTAGTGTAGCTGATTGAAAAATTAAATAGATGTATTCACATTTATTTAATGCGATTGTGCAGAGAGATTTTGTTGGGTTTTTTTCCTTTTTAAAGTAGTGCCCACTTATGTTTGAAATAAATTGTATCTTGTACTGCCTATAAAATTTTATTTTGTTTTCTTCCTTGGATCAGAATTTCTTTTTGATGATTTATCCATATGTCAGGCAGGATATCCACTGTGATAATGGCATCTACATAATTCCAGAAGAATCAAAATTATTTTCTATTTCTCTCCATTAATACTACATGGAAACATACAGAAGAGCTCTTGGTTTCTCTTAGCCAGATGTACCACATTGTTTTCTTTCTGTAGCAAAACTGTTTAATAGGTTTTTAAGTTTAGAGAATGAGAAAGTTAACTGTCAGTCTTGCTGATGACATTTTCTAGGAGGAAAAAACACCACAAAACCTTGCCATCTCCAGCTTTACTCTTGATAGAAACTTGTATGTGTTGGCAGCTTAGCAATTTGAGCTGAGTTAGATTTGTATGGTATTTATATAAATATGTTTTATAGTATTCTTTTTAACTTTGGTCACACTCTTGTAATATTAGATATACATCTGGTGTGTTAGCTTTTTATGTATGTTTGTGTGCATAAGTAAATTGGGCAGGGAGGGAGGAAGCTAACAAACTAAATGACTGTATCAGAATGTTTTCCTGTTTCAGCTGCTGGCAACCAAGGAGGGATTGCTGCCTTTTTTTATATTTTTATTTTTTTTAATTTGAAAAAGTGTAAAAGGAGTGTCACAAGATGCATTTTCCAGCTTCATAGTTGTTCAGGATGTATTTTTTTGCCCTAAATTAAATATAGTTATCTAAAAATGTGACAATACACTCAGTAATAAAACTAGTGTATAGACTTTTCTGTACATGCTGTACATATTTAAATGACCCCATGGGTCTCCCAAAGCAAACTTTTAACATTCCAGATCTTTTACCGTGCATCTGCTACTGGCACATAGCCACCCACCCACACAGATTTAGTTTAAATAAATGAAATTTATTCTAGTTTACTTAAGTAAAAAGACTTGTAAAATATAAAGGTAGTCACCTTGCTGGTAAGGTTACTAAAATGAAGGGTTTTCTTAAATAGAGTTTTGTGGATTTTTTTCTTCTGTAGGACTGTGCACAATTTCATACTTTCTTAAATTCTTATCTTATGTGTTCCTTTTGTTTTCCTTTGCAGATGGGATTTATACAGATTAATGAGGACTTCATATTTATTGAGCCACTCAATCGCACTTTGGCTGTGACAGGTCATGCACACAGGGTGTACAGACGAAAAAGGTCCATAGAGGAGAAAATTGCTGAAAAGCCAGCTTCTCAGAATCAGTACTGTGGTATTGTTACAGGTAATATACAAATCTCACTGAAAAGATCTAACGTAGCAGATGTATTTTTAAGATATGTAGACAGTAGTTAAAAACAACCCCCAATAAAAGCATATCTGATTATTCCTTTAGCAGTAACTTATGGTGGACTTTGAGGTGGCATGCTGAGGCTGCCGTTTCGCTTGTCCAAAGAAGGAACTGTCCAATGAGGAATAGACTCTGCTTCTTAATGTCCAGTTATATTTGAAAGTAGAAAACTTTGGGTCATTTTTTTACTTCAACTTAATAATTACAACCTATTTCTTGTCCCGCTCTGTCTTTGTAGTTGATTCATTATTTACTATGTGCAGTGCTTGTATTTAATATTCTGTTTTAAAACATCAGCACAGTTCATCCCAGTTTCAGTTAGTAAAAAGTCTTGAACTTCCAAATGGGTCCAGCACTGAATTGAAATTACTTTTATAACAGTGTTCTTGTTCTGTGATTGATACTTCAAGAACTGTATGAAGCAATCCTAATGCATCTTCCTCAATGGTAAGTTGTAGAAGTTGTTGAAGTGTTTTCAACAAAAATTTGGCACATAGTGGTGACTTAATAATTTTCAATGGAGAGAAGAAATATGTGAAAGATGTCATTTTATTGTTCCTGCTTCAACTCCTCTTCTTCAAAGGTTAGAGGACATCTCAGTCTTTTGACCTCAGCGTGAACTGAGGGTGTTTTCAATGTTGTTGTGAGAATTTTTTTTTTTCCCAGGACGTAAACCAGAATGAGTGCGCATTTACAGGCATTTTTTCTATGTCTCCTAATACTGTATAAGTAAGATACTGACAAAGTGGAAAGAAATAGCAGAAGTGCACTGGTATGACTAGGGAGCTGGATTATATGACATCTGAGGCAAGGCAGAAGGAACTGGGTTATTTCAAACAGGTGAAGAAAGGTAATGGAAGGATGCAGCTGTAGCCTTCTGGTGCCTAAGGGGCTGCAGAGAGAAGATGAAGCCAGACCTCCCTTAGAGGTATGGTATGACAGAATGAAAGACAACAGTTGTAACTTGCATTCAAGGAAATTTCAATTTCAGCAAGAATTCGTAGCACTGGAAGAGATTTCCTAGAGAGGCTGTGGAGTCTGCATCCTCAGACATTTGCAAAACATAGCTGGAAATGTCTCTAAGGGAGCTGATCTTTGACACTTGTCCTGACTGGAGCAGGACCTTCGCCTAGCTGACCTCTGGAGATCCTTTCCAGCCTAAACTTTTCTGTGGCTGTGTGGTTCTGACTGAACATTTATACTGCTCTGTCAATTTTATGTGGTTACAGAATAAATGTGGCAGGGTTTTTTTTCCATTTTGGAAGTATCGTTTTTATAATTAAGCATCTATCCACAGGTTGAAATCAAAGATGTATTAGCAAAGGAAGGCTCTTTTGTAGTTGTTAAGAGGGACTAAGTAACTGGCATGTAACTTCCTCCAGCAAGCTGTATATTTCTCTTCTGAGCATTGTATTACATTGCCACTGCTTATCTAAAAGTGAAATTTTCTATATTAGCAAAAGTCGCTCACATAAAGGAAAGCTGGTTATTCTTCCTTATTAGTGGTAAGTGATTTAGAGCATGCATGCATGCATGTGTTTGGGAGTGATAAAAAGAGAGAAAACAAAAAGCATGCATGACGTGCACTGGGAAAGGGGAGAGAGGCATCTGATAAATAGCAAACTATGATGTGTATGCAGTGTATGTGTAAGCAGTTAGCTAGTATCACCAAAACATTCATGGTATGGGCACAGACTTATAGATGGGTTGAAACAACAAAAATAAGCCTTTACAGCAATATTTGAGAATTGTAAGTCAAATCTTAAACTAAGTAGATCAATGAAACAAAGATAAAACAAATGACTATACGGGGGTCTCTTGATACTCTCAGGCTATGCACAGCTGCCTTTGGTAGAGTTGTAACTGTGTGACACAGAGAAACACTGAGAAATTGTCTTGGCAATATGTCAACTTCTCAACAATATGAACCTATCTTGCAACAGGATCCCTTGCTTCTACAGTACTCGTGTCAGAATAGGTGCTCTGGGACAGGTATTTACACTGCTGGTTTTGAGCCAAATTTATCTCAAAAACTGGCTACCTATCAAGCAAATGTGTATTGCCAGTGATGAACTGTAATTATTAGAAGGAATGAATGTCTGTGCTGGAGGTGTTGAAGGATCACTATTGGAAATAATAGCTTTTCATGCAGAACTAGAAGAGGCAATCAAAGAAGGTATTGTTTGATGTCCGTTACTGTTGTGGGCTGGACTGAAAGATGCTACACAGCCAAACTCGTTTGGAGAGAACAAAGAACTTGTTTTTGTGAATGGGGTGGATTTTTCTTATTAATTAGGGGAGGGAGAGAATTGTACCAACAGAAGCAGATGCTTTCTGGATTTGTGAGAGTGTGCGTGCATATCCTTTTGTTGAATGTGTGTGTGATTTATTTACATATGTGAGCCAGTTGCATATACGCCGATCTCACACTCCACACTTTTCTTTAGCATGTGACCCATGAAACCTTTCAAAGCAACCAGTTCACAAGTGTGTTACAGAGAAAATGTGAGAAAGGGAGTTGCTGTTAGAGCTAAGGGCCGCATTGGAAAGCTAAGCTCTTTTCCTTCTTCCTAATCTGAAGCACTTGTTCCAGGCTAAGTTGTTTGTACAGTAAACCTAATTCATGGTAAAAGCATGAGGCACTTGGGAGAAAACAAAAATAGTTATCTTCCTTTTCACACAGAGTAGTGAGTGAGAGCTCTTATCCAGGATACAGCAGATCTGAATTTTGAATCCCTTCTGTATTTGGGAGACTGCAAGCATCCTCTTTTACTTCTCAGTTCTGGTGATAAATATACTGTTCCGAGTTATGAGCATATTGTGCTTCTCCTCTTAGGGTGATGCCATTTTGCAGGAAAAAGCCTGAAGTTTGACATTATGGAATGTAGCCTGGGCAGTCAGCTGGGAGAGCTTTGTTGATTCTTGCTCTACAGCCTGTTTCCAGGTGATAATCATGAAATAAAATTGCATAAACAATCTTGGTCATAGATCTAGATCTATGAGATTGCACTAGGTGGAGGCTGGTACTGCCTGAGGTATTGGTTTCCATTCCTTGGGTCAGAAACAAGTTGTCACTCTGCATTAAGACCTTTTAATCCCTACCCAAACTGTAGTGGAGGTATAGCTTGTGGCTTCCTAAACTCCTGAATATTCCCTGCCTATCCAGAATACTGCAATTTCTGAATGGCTAGGGTACCCATCTTCTTCTCCCTGGGAAAAGAAAGCCTGGGAGTGGTGGTGATTGCTCTGTAGTCTGGGTGTCATGCAGATGTACTCAGGGAATGCTCTTGTGCCTGAGGACTTTTAAGTGTCCAGGAGTCCTGCAGTCATAACCTGTTCTTCATGTTGGCTCAGATACTTTATGCAACCTGTGGTTATAGTAGCTGGATTTTCAGCTCTTCTAGTTTTTTGGGGGTGATTTTTTATTGCTTTGTTAACACTTCTTGTTATTTTCTCTTAATTGGCTATTGAGTGTCAGATGTACTTGCTGCAGTATTTCTAGCTTTCCTTTCAGTCAACTGAGTTTAAGTAATAAATTTATATGGAACCTTCATATTTTCCATAGTTGCACAAAACAGAAGTCTTATCACACTCCTGTAGCATTTATTTTTTATTTTGGCAGTGTAATTACTTTTAAGATTAATTTATGCATCCTTAATCTGAAGAAGCTGTTTTTTCAGTTACTCTGACTTTCATCATGTTAGCATGAGCATTATTGATGTGGGCATGTTTTCTTGAAGGAGTTATTATCTCTTACACACGTTGCCTTCAATAATAAGCAATTCTTTGGAGTTTTTACTTATTTATGCGTATATAAAGAAACAAGTGGTTTTGCCTAAAGCCTGTTTTGCCTGTTATCTGGCAGTAATCATGGTGGTTGTTTGAATACTACTGGGACCAAAATTACTAATTCGATTTATTTAAAAGTCTTGGGGAAGAGCTAACATTTTCAGACAAATGACATGTCATGTGTTGAGGAATTCTGCCACCAATTTGGAAAAGGTTGGCTGGCCAAGAAGAGATTGTCCTGTGGTTTGTGAATCCAGCAGATATCTGAGGCAAATGAGGGGTTTGCAGCCAGCTTGTCTCCAGGGCTGTACAGTCTTCTCATCCAATACAATCCCAAAAGACAGAGGTTTCAACAGTTTATGGGACTGCAGTGACCTTAGTGTTTAGCACAATACTGTATTTTATTGTGAGATGCTTACTGTCAATTCTGAACAAAAATGCACCACTAGCTACAACTCTTAGAGAGGTGTGTTAGCAGACTTCTCTGAAGAGCCATGCTAACATTAAATTTAAAGTTTTAAACCACTACTTGCTGTTTTTTATGAAGAAGTGAACAATGAATAAACTGTATTGCTGGAAACTGCTCTAAAATCAATCACTGCTCCTAGGAGGAAGGCAGATTGACCAGATGGCTCATGAGAAATCTTTTTTAACCCAAACGAGTTTACTATTTAAACTTGGATCTATAGCCTACTCTTGCAGCACTAGATGCTTGCATGGTAAGTCATAGTTGTATAGCTTGTAGGGTGTGGGGGTTTTGGCACAAATCCTGACACTGAAGTTTCATTAAAAATTATTCTCAAAAGAGTGACGAAAACACACGTAATGTTTTATTAACTGGGCTGTAGATCCGCCGTTAACAAACATAGGTAAAGCTAGAGGCTAGCTGTACATATAAGGCTAAGCAAGTGTCTGAAAGATCAAAATGAGAGAGTTAAAATTAATTTTAGACAGCTTATGAATTTATAAGTTGTTTCTACTTCTAGACAATCAAAACACCAAATATTTATTTCTGGAGAATATATACTTTTTTCTTTTAGTAAATATTATGCTTATCAGTGTTGGTAAGTCTTACATTGTCACCAGTTGTGCAGCAACGAGCAAGCCCTTCTAAAACTTAGTGGGATGGACTAAATAATTTACATATATAAACTTTAAGAAATGGCTACAGAAAAAGATAGACAACCTTTTTTAAAGCACAGATACTTTATACTTTTTACAGTGAAAAGTATATATCTACATTATATTTAAATGAAATCTCTATTACACATACATTTATATTAAATCACATATCCTTCTTCCACTGGCAACTTATATTTTAAAGCTAGTGTGTTCAGTGACCTTTAAGGCATATTTTTAACACTTTCCTGAAGAGTGACTTATTTTTTTGAGAGTAGTCATGTGTTATAAAATGAACTACAGGAACTTTCCTATTAGAGATGAGACTGATTAATTGCAAGACATTTCCTCAGAATTTTTGAATATTTGATTGTTTCCAGAACATGTGTTTATAATTGTCATCTCAAGCATCACTTTTGTTGTAAACAGAGAGCCCAATATTCTGCTGTGGAAGCTGGAAAAAATTTCACTTGATTTCAGTGACTTCAATGAGATCAGTACCAGAAGTTTTATGCCCTCTCAAGGGGATCTAACAGAACTTGGCTATTACAACAGGGAGTTTCATTTTAAATTTTGTTTTAAATTAAATTATTTTAAATATCATTGCTAACTACTGTATGCATATCTGACCACCTTCTGGCTTCAACTGTTTCTGGGTAATTAATTTTTCTTTTTCTATATGTACGGTAGTAGTAGTGGGGATTTTGTCGTGGTTTTGGAGGGAAAACTTAAAATTAACAAGAGCAGTAATGTCTAGCTTACCATAAATGTGTTATGTTTTCTATTTGGAGCTTTTTTCAGGTTTAGAAGGCTGTCTCCAGGGTTTGGTTTTGTTCTTTTACTTTACCTGCTTATAATGACAGCAGCACTGACTTTGAAGTCATGTTAGTAATACTTCCCTTTTTTGTTTCCAAGAGACCTATATCCTACATATTGTTCTCCATTTTCTTAATATTGCGTTTGTGGCAAATCTATAAGATAGTTACATCAAGGTGTTTTCTCTGTGATTTGTGAAGATGGGCAGATAACAATTCTTCAAACTCAATTTTTCTGTCAAACCTAACATGTTTTCTCCCGCAAACCAAGCTAGGAGGCACATAGTCTTTCATAAATATGTTAAGTGAAAGGATGCAAAGAATCTGACTAACTTTATTTGAGCAGCTGGATAAGATTCCAGTTTTCTTGGTCTGAACTAACATTTATATGTAGTGCAGGCCTTCAGGCTGAGCCTTAGCATTGGCAGTGCTAAATAAGCATGTATTAGAGTTCACAGGTATTACATTCCACATAATCAGTTATACTATAATCACAGGTAGAAAATCCTAAAAGTACTGTAGAGCTAGTTTGAAGGATGAGTTTGTCAAGCAATGTCTTACGTTGCAGATAAAAGAAAATCCAAGAATCAAAAAGTATCAGAAAGTGGAAGAGGAAAACGATACTCGTACAAATTACCTCAGGAGTACAATATAGAAACTGTTGTGGTGGCAGATCCAGCTATGGTTTCATATCATGGAACAGACGCTGCCAGAAGATTTATTCTAACCATCTTGAACATGGTAAGAAATGTAAAATTAATTTTGGCATTTTGCCGACAATGCATGCACTGTGGGCATTGCTCCTTTTAAATATTTTTAAATATTCTGTCTGAGCACCTGTAAGGGACAGTAAGTACATGACCATCAGCAGGCTGTCAAGACTTACTCCATATGTTTCGCAGCATAAAACCATGGTGCTGCAAACTTGTCAGTACTGTCTGACCTTGTATCTTGAGCAATGAAACCGGAAAGGGAAAGCTGAACAAGATGATTCTTTGGTTAGAAACCCATGATGTTATTCGGAAGGCTGGGATATTGGGTGATTTCTCATGATCCATGCTTGTTATGAAGAGATGACGTTGTTGAGAAGGATTGTGTGATCATTAGAGGCTGGAAAAGACCAGAGCAATGCACTTGGACAATTACATCCACCCCAGCTCCATCTGGAGCTGCAGTGCACTCATCTGGTGCATAAAGCAATGAAAACTAGCATCTGTAATGTACAAGGGAAGATTGTTCTAAAGGAGCATAAGCTGAAGAATAAATAAAAACTTGTAACTATTCTGAATAGGAAGAGTTATTGCCATGTCCTGGCTCAGACCACTTGGGCCATGATCCTGGATTTAACTGAATAGAAATTTTCATGTGAATAGTATTATATGCATGTGTAAGTACTCGGAGAAATAGGCTACAGGTTATAAAGTAGTCATGGCCATTGGGGGGGAAAAGGTCTTTTTGTGCTCCTGGAATGAATACTAAGCTCTGTTTTCCCTTCAGCAGACCAACACAGTACATTAGCTTAATCTTCTGTTCAAATTATGGAAAATGAAAGCAGTCACAGTAGAGTGTAAGAAATTTTTGAGGTTCTTTGAGGTTCTGTTTTTTTTAGTCTAGAGTGTGTTGTGTGCAATACAAGCACATATTTTTATTTACTGTTTTTTATCTTAGGTTTTTAACCTTTTCCAGCACAAGAGCCTTGGACTACAAGTAAATCTTCGAGTGACTAAACTTGTCCTCCTTCATGAGACTCCAGTAAGTATCTACGATCTTTGTCTTAGCCTGTAGAGGGTAATGCTCCTTAGTTTGTTGCTCCATGAAGGCTTGCAATATTCACCAACTTTAATGGCTGACAAATTGTCTCAGTTAGCTTTTGTGCATTATTTAGTTATTTACACTGCTGGGCAGCCCCAGTAAAGATTAAGCCTCTCCTACTTTATGTGCTGCACATACTGAGATTTTTCTGTGCTTGCAGTTGGAAGTCAGTCAAAGTGTCCTTGTGGAAATCATCTAGTTCTTAAGAAAATCTGCTTGTGCTCTGCTTTTTGTGCGTTTGTATAGCTCAATGAAAAATCATCTCCTTCAAACCCAGTGGAAAGTAGGAGGAAAACTGATGTTCTTTGTCAGGTAATCTCTAGATGAACAAAGGGTGCGATGATATAGGACTATTCTTTCATTGCACCTTTCAGGCATCATCTCAAATCCCATTTGTTCTTCCTGGAAAAAGACTAGTCAGCTGATACTTTGACTGAGATTTTCTATTAACCTATGGTTTGTATATTGTATTTCAGGACAATGTCGATTTGTTTGCTTGCTGTTTCTGCAAAATATTATGGAAATCCTTTCGTATTTTAGTTAGCTCGTAAGAAAAAGGGATTTGCTTATCCATGTTTCTAATTTTAAAATATTATATTTCTGCAGTGTTCAAGAAAGTATTTCTTTTTTTAGTGTCCTCTCAGCCAGTGGAGAAGTCTCATTTCATGTTCAAATTCTGCATATTCACTTCATTAATCTTTTTTTTCACTATGGATAGCAAAAAATCAGCAAATGAATGAGGCAAGGGTTCAGGTGAACAAATCCACTGAATACCTTCCAGTGCACTGTCTTTATCTGTGTCTTTAACATAAGAAAAAGATGATTGCTGCTCCTGAAGTTCAAGTCATTCTGCTGTGAACATATTGTGCCATAAAAAGGAGAATATTTTTGCTAACTCAGTCAAAAAATCTTCTTAATTCTATTTATGGAATCATAATTCTAATAAAATGAATTGTTTTTTATTTCCAGGCAGATATGTATATTGGACATCATGGGGAAAAAATGCTTGAAAGCTTTTGTAAGTGGCAACATGAAGAATTTGGGAAGAAGAATGATATACACTTAGAAATGTCAACAAGCTGGGGAGAAGACATGTCTTCAGTTGATGCAGCCATACTGATCACAAGGTAAAACACTGAAAGATGAGCATTTAAAAATAGCTAGTGGCATAATGTGAACATAGATCAAAGAAACTGATAGATGACCAACACAGTTAGGATTTAGTGTTGTAATGAGGAAAAGTGCAACTTGAGGCTTCTTTCCAGAACTCAAAGAAAGTGGTAAAGTGGTGGTAGAAATGGTTCATAATGCAAGAGTTCTCTGATGGTAAACATGTGAAATGACAGACAGGTCACTCTTCTGTTTCTTCTTTGGCTGTATAGCTAAGGCTGTAGGTTGGATGCCTCTCTTCATGTGCTTTCATTTAAAAGGGGCAGCACCCACAGACCTGTAGACACTTTCATTCAAAACACAAAAGCATATTTAGACTATTCAGAGCTGGATCAGCATGACACTAGGCACATTACAGAGTTGTGCTTCCCTCTAATGGATCTAGAACTAGTATGTTTCATTGTGTGCTGAAGGTACTTCATTTACACAGTATGCCTCCAGCTCACCTCTTTCCTCCCAAGCAGATGCTCTCATGGTTTAAGCTGTAAGTGGTGCTTAGGGGGATTCGTCTTGATGTTTAGACAAGATACAGCCATTATCCAAAGAAAACGACAGAATAATAGTTCAGCTGCTCTAGGCTTAGGGCTTAGTCCTATTTTTAAGGTGGACCTTGGACTGGATGACCTTCGGAGTTCCCTTCCAAAGAAAATTCTTGTGACTGGATATACTGGAATACCATTGTGCTGTCCCATGCTAGCTGGCAATGTGGTATCCTAAAACCATGTGTAATCTTTAAACTTATGTGTAGCCTTATACCATTTATTCACGGTAATGTCACTAGGAGCTATATGCATTTTTTTAAATTAGTTTACATTTGACTGCTACAATATCTATAAGATATTTCAGTTTTCTGAAGCAGAAAAATGCTTCCCTAAGTTTCCCTGTTTTGGAGAGCCAGTCACATACTGGAAGCAGAAAATGGTCAGGGGTGACAGCTTTGTTGCTACTTCTGCTGTTTAGTCCCTTACCTTTTCTTAGAAAAGCCCACACTCATCTCTTCTTACCCTATGCCATCCAATTCTACTTGTGTTTTTCTGTTTTATGGGTTGTTGGGGCTTTGAGTGGGCAGATTAGTTTTTGTTACACATTTGTCCATTAGCTAAGCAGCAGTCCTTCACACAGGTTCCTTTGAACTACCATGGAAGGGATGAGAAATAATGTTCTCTGTAAGAAATTTCCATTAACTCACCAGAAAACATACTTGGGATGACAGAATGGAAAGAAATTTTTCAGATTGAGACCCATGACTGATTTTAATAGCAGTGAGTGTGTTGGTGGGGGAGGAGTCTAGATGGAGAAGGAAAGGTGTGAGTAGTAGGAAGGAGTGAACTTGGACCAAGGCATAAATGGTGGCTGAGTGTCATGCATGGCATTGGGTTGATGAGCATAGCTAAAGGGGAACAGACCTTCTTACATCTAGTTGTACTTTGTGACTGTCCAAGGATAATCGAGCAATTGCATACTGCTTGGTTGCTAGAAACATGGGGCTATTGAGTGGCCCCTCACCTATCCCCTGGCTCTCTGATTTGAGGCAGCAGAAGCAGTCAGCACTACCTGCAGCAGCAGCAGCAGCTTGAGGGACCATCGAACCCTCCAAGCCTGCATCTGCCAGGAGAATGAATCTAGCACTGCGTTCTTTAGCTGGTGAGATGTAGCTCTCAGGTTGTAGGATGCTGTGAAATAAAGCATATAACACCTCTTTCCTCTCTTTCTTTTTTTCATCTTCACCTCAACCATCCTTTATGGGAAGAGACAGAAGAGTTCTGAACTGATGCAAGTGAGATGTTAGTTAAGCAGTTGAGAAGCAGTGGTCTGCAGATGTCTTTAGCATCCATTGTGTTTGGCCAGAGGGCTTTTTGAATTTCATGCAGCATTTCTAAATGGTAAAAAAAGCTTTCGGAAAGTCTAATCATATGTTAAGACATGCTTTGTAATTATGGTATTTTGATTTGCATTGCCTACAATTTTTTACCTGTCAGTTTTAATATGTTTTTTGGAGTAAATTTGTGATCAGTGTTAAGGAAATCAAAGTAGAGAGCCGCGAAGTGATTGGTTGGATATCAGATAGTAAGTCAGTGCTGCAGCCAGAAATTAAAGATCTGTTCTTCTGATATTTTTATTTTTTCAGTGGAATTATTCACTGGACTATACTGCCTCCCATCTCAGAGCTGCTTTAGCTGATAGTAAATCACACCAGTGTGGTTTGCTGACTGTGGGAATGTTTTGCTAATCCAGGCTCCCTCTGCACATCATCAGGTTTATGGTATAGCTAACCCCATGTGTGACTCCACTTGTGTTTTGTTAATTCAGAGTCTCATTCTGTTTTGCAAACACAGAACAATCTCCTTTGTCACAACTTCCAAACAGCTTTGGACAGCAGACCTGCTTTATTGAGAGAAATCATTTTGTTGAGACAGATGAACAACATCTGCTTGATATTTTTAAAGTAAAAATGTATAGTTTTGGTTATCTTAACACATTCTGTGGCAGACCTCCTAAAATTTCGCACACCTCCTTTTTTGTCTCACATGATCATAGAACAGCAAGAGTACTTTGAAAAAGCTTTCCTGTGCTTTCACATGCCAGTTGCGTCTAGTAACCAAAAGTTAGAAATGAAGTATTGAGTATTCCGCAGAGCTAATTTTTAATGCCAAACTAAAAAGACCATGATGTGTATGTAACATTCAACAGTCAAAGAGCCATCATGGCCTCTTCATGAAAAAGGGGGTCTTATTTTTGCATTTGTTACATGCAGCAGAAAGCAAAACCAGCTTCTCCCCACGACTTTCTCTGCTGCCCAAGTAGGCCGTATGATACACATGAATCTGCTGCCAATTTGTGCATTTCACTTTACTGTAGTCCTATTTCAGCCTGTGAGTTTTTGTTTAGTTTCCCTTTAAATTGGCTTATTGTGATGAAGTAATGTCCTGCTTAAAATGTGGTGCTATAAAATAAAAGGAAGACAGAAAAAAAAAAAGTTTGAATAGTGTATTTAGAAAAGATCCCCAGGGAGGTTATGTATAAGGAGAATGTGAGAATTAAGACAGAAATTGTTTTAAGGACTCTCCTGATAAAACTGTCCGATTCACAGTTATAAATTAGCACTATTACTTTAGAGATATATGTATCACGAAGTACTTTATACCACAGCACATCAATGTCCTCCTTGCCTTTTAAGTTACAGAGTGCAAGTGCACAAAGATAAGCCCCAATTTCGGTGACTGCTGAGGTTGTATTACCAGTTGCTATCTGCATAGGTTGTCCGGCCTGAATGAGGTAGCAAAAAGTAAGGCAGGAAAAGGCCCGTGGCATCCACGGTTACTCTATGATGATACTTGCCTCTAGTGCAATCAAGGTAATGGAAGCTTCTAAGTGTATTAAAAAAAAAAAAAAGATACAAGAATGAGGCAGAATCTACCATCATTTAAAAATTATACGTCATGCTGCATTTCCAGTACATAGGCCAATCAGTGTCACAGTGTTTTTTGAAAAACACGTAAATATGAAAATAATAATTAAAAAAAATCAAGTTCTGTATTCTCCTTCTCAGAATTGCCATTTTCACATGTGCTTGTGGTAGAAAGTAGATCTCTGATTCTCCTAATATTCAGCAGATAGATGGTCATACTCCATGTTCACAGTGTACATCAGCTGTTTATTCATATTGATCTGCAGTATCTGAAATCTCTTTGCTCTGGGTGATATATTACTGAAAGAGCGCTGCGAGGCATTTTCACTGTAAGAAAAGGCCTCATTCTATGAAAGTAGACAATGGCATAAAGAACACTTAGATTTGCTAAATAGTGTTTCATTTCCAGTTGTTCCAACCCTCCAGAACTCTCCCCAAAGCCTGGACAAGAATTTCTTAAGCGTTGCTATTACCTTCCAATGCACACAAGAAGTGCAGTTCTTTTACTGACTTTGCTTTTTACTTCCTTTCTGATGATAATAGTTTGAACCAAAAATACCTCTTCAAGAAAGTCAGAGATGGAAGACTGCAAATGACCCCTGGACAGAAAATAGCATTACAGGGTCACCCAAGAGGTTGCAGTGTTTGGCAGTCCAAAATTGTTGAAATGTAAAGGGATAGGGATTGGGTTAGTAAGCTGCCACTGCTGTCCTTAAACTTCTGGTGAAATCTGGCTCTGGAAAAATGAGTTCTTGCAAGAGCATGGTGAGAGAGAAAATTATTCTTAACTTTGTCTTCATATTGGTATTTTTTAATCACTGTAATTTCAACACTGCAAATGCTCCTATTTTTTTTTTTTTTTTTTTGCAAAATTTTACAGTGTTTACTGTTTTTCTTTTGACAACAGCAGCAGACATCAAGGGAGTTCGTGAGAATCTCACATGTCCTTACTACTAATTATTTACTAATAGGATTGCAGATGCAGAAGGAAGCATGGAAATTTGAGACCATCAAATGTGTCTTTTTTTTTAAAACCACAATCTCCTTTATTTATTACTTTAATTTTGAGACGTATTTTTATCTTGTGTATTTTAAAAATGCCAGTAATTTAAAGTCATCACATGCTGTTTGGTTTGGTTTAGGTTTTTTCTTACCTAAGTTCAAGGTGTTTGAGTCTGTGAAGTGGTAATGCTTGTAACAATACATGTCAGGAAAATCTGCATGAATTTACCTGTTTCTGTCAGCTTGTTCTTTTGAGATTTAGTACTCAGGCCACATATGTTCTGTTCACTCGTAGAGATCTGTTACATAGCATTACATGGACCTAAACTGAATTTTAATTGTCTGATTATCTTGTGCGAGTCCATAATATTACATTCAGTCATATTTACATTTTATTTTTCTGGTGAGTAAGAAAGCTAGATTGTCTTGAGACAAAGATTTAATAGAAGTGTGTTCTGAAGTTGACCATTGCCACAGTTACTAGCAGAATGGACAGATGTGTCTTACTTCTAATTTTTGTTACTTCAGCTTTCAACCATGGATCTC